AAAAGTTAAGCTATATTCTAGCAAGATTTGCAAAAGGCTAGGTTTAGATAAGCTTGCCCAGTTTGTGGGAAAATGCAAATGCTTAAGTCTTAAATTATTTTTTTTTCAGCCAAAAAACACATAAAGTAGATTCTCCTCTGCGTGTTATGGCCTCGGAAAACGGGACTTGGAACAAATCTATGGCAACCTTGCTGCAAGAATTTGAATGTGCTTGTGTTTGATGACCCTTTTCGAGTTAAGAACTCAGAAAAGATAATTTATTTCCTGAAAGATCATCCTGACAGGTGTCTTGTGGCCTTCTCAACCGATATTAAAGGTCTGTATTACTCGCTCCCGCACGACAAGTTGATGGCAAGTATCGAAGGCTGCATCGACAGGCACGTTTACGTGGCGTTTCAAAACGAAGCAGGGCTTAGCGTGAGTAAGTCTTTAGAGCTTCTGGATTTTTATTTAAAGTCGACGTTTGCGACCTAGAATGATAAGGTTTTTATCCAAAATAATGGTGTGTACATAGGGTCGTGTACAGTCCCTATGCTGAGCGACATCTATCTCGCGTTTTATGGTAGAGTCATGTCTAAAAAACTAGAAAGTTCTAAGGTTGCAAGAATGTTTAGGTTCGTGGATGATTATCTTGTATCATTTTATTTACAAGGAGGCATTCAGAGGCGAGGTTTCGCATGTTTTGACTACTTTTAGTGAGGGGAGAGCCTTGAACCGCTCATTTTGATTCACGAGATGCCCGTAAATAGCTCCGTTGTGTTTTTAGACCTCTGTCTTCGCTTTATTGATACTGACGCGTGCTGGGTATATGAACCAAGAAGCAACAAACAACTTTTGTCATTTTCATCGGCGCACTTTAAACTAGTAAAAAGAGGGATAGTCAACCCGTGTTTCCAGAATGCACTGGACAAGTCTTGCTCACACCAGGTTGATATACGTTTTAATAAACAATCTTCTAGGACTCCGAACTGCTGGCTATCCGTCGTACCTACTAACTGCAGTGGCTGAGACCTTACTAAAGAAAAGGCGTAGTAACTCCACTTTTAAGGCTAGACAAGTGAATAAAAATGTCACTGTTGTGCCGTACCTGCACGGTATATCAGATAATCAGAAGAAAGAAGGAAGTCTCGTGGGTGTTGAGCGGGTGTTCTCAGCACCGAATTAGCTAGCCGGGCTCTGCAGACAAGTTAATTCAGATGTTAAAAATAAGATCGGGTGCACTAAAAGACATCAAAATCAATTAGCGGCTCTTTTGCAGGGAGTGGTCTCATCCGTTTCATTATCTTGCGGCCGTCGTTATGTCGGTCAAACAGGAAGAACGCGTCAACGATCGGCTCAGAGAACACTGATATAACGTTTTTCAAGTTGTGTCGGGTCACCTCGGGGTGCACTGCAGAGGTTGCGGTTACATCCCAGGCTTCGACAAATGCCAAGTGGTTTTTTTTTAGAATAAAGACAGGGGGTCAGGGCGTGAAATTATAGAAGCTCGTGACATCGCAAGACTGGGACCAGATTCTGTTAGCGCCCCGTCGCTCGTGCTTTCAGATAAAGAGCGGCAGTTCATGTAGCGAGGAGGGCAAACCAGTGACGGTGTTCTATTGAACACGTCATATGCATTTTTTGTGTGTTTTTCTTTCATTTATTTGGTGGGGCATGTATGCTATTTGTACTGGATGATAACATAAATAAATCTTTAGTTGAGAGTCAGCGCCGTGTCCTGTCGGTCACCTTTTACTTTGTCCTCGTGTTTGCGCTGTTTTGTTTTTATTGATGTCTGCATACCAACTAGCCCAAACTTCTACGTTAACCTTCCATGCAGCTGCTCTTAACATTGTCATAAAAATACGACACTTTGCATGCCTAAAATTATTTACGCATGTCTGCATTTTTGCTACTGGTGACGAAGTATACTGATTGTAAGGGTAAAAAGAAAAAAAAAAATCCTTTTTTTTTTTTTTTGCAAACGAGCTGGTGTAATAATATTCACTGTGCACACAAACTCAGAGGCCATATCACTGTAAAAAAGTTTATTTTGTAAAAAAACAAAAAACAAAAAAAACAGCTAGATCCCGGACAGTTTTTTGACGGATCGAAGCAGGTATTTATAGTAAAGTAGGGCTTTGTCTTGTTGTGACGGCCAATCTTAAAAAAAAAGGGGGGGGGGGGGGGGGGGGCCTGACGGACGTTCCTTCCTGTCAGTGACGTCAGAAACATTGTGCGTTCGTACTGTGTTCTGACTTTCTTTTTTTTTGTATTTGGGAATCCGTGGACCAACCCCCTCCTGCAGGTTTCTATAGACCAGGGGTGGCCAGGCTGGCCTGGCCTAAGAGCCGCAAACAAAACCACGGAACTTCCAAGAGCCGCGGGGGGGGGGGGGGGGGGGGGCGGGTGCAAACTTGACTTTTGTTCAGAGTCTGACTGTAGGTATGTGGGCACAACAGGCTGTACGACTATACGTATGGGAAATGCTGCCAAACTGCAAGCTGCAGTGTGCTTTATTCTGAAATCTTTTATTTTTTTTTCCTGGGGAAAAGCGGAAAGGTGAGAAGGGGGGGGGGGGGGAGGGTCCCCTTACGAGGGATCCGCGAGCCGTACTTGGACCAGCTAAGAGCCGCATGCGGCTCGCGAGCCGCGGTTTGGCCACCCCTGCTATAGACCAACACACTGTTTACAAACAAGCCCGTGTTTGCCTACACCGGGTGTGGGAAATGCGCGTGCCCAGAAGCCAGATACGTCCGAGGCGAAGCATCCGCGCATGCGCAGTGTCGACAGTAGCGCCACCGCAGTGCCGTGACGTCAGAGAGTGGTGCTGGTCCGTGGTCACTGACATCTCAAGAAACGCAGGGCGCGGCTGTCTTGTTGAAAATAAAGAATAGCTTAAAACACAATACCTTCAAACAGGTTTTGAAGTAAAAAAATGGTTGGAAATTGAAGCGGGAAGTGTGCATGGTGCGGCTGAATATGCATATATATTTATTTTCTTATTGGCAAAATAAAGCGCAGCACAAACAAGAAAAAAAAAAAAACCCGGATAATTATAGGAAAAACAACCCCGGAGAAATCAGCTTAAAAGACGAAGTGAAAAGAAAAGGTGTTTAGGTGACAGGTTGCAAGCAACAAAACTGGCTGCGGAGTTGTCGCCTCCCTGCGAAAGGCTCGGTTAGGTTCGCCGCATGACTCAGGCGTTAAACGGGGAAATCCGCTTCTGGTGGTCCACTGCAGCCCGTTCTGCGCCGGGGAAACTTACAACCGAGTGCTCGGGTAGTTATGAGTCGTGAGGCCGAATTGAGACTTAAGTGCCGGCGTTAAAAACAACAATACCGACGAAGCAGCGAGTAAAACGGCAGCGTGCCAGGTGACAGAAGTAGCGGAACACGAAGCAAATGGGAAAAAAAAAAGAAGAAAAAAAGGGGGGCATAAATTCACGCGTCCAGAGGAAAACACAAGCGGTGCATGTGCCAGGCTTCTTTTCGCAACGGTTCTTTTCCTGAACTCGCTGTTCTTGAGTGACTTCGGACAGTGGCCAAGTGTCGTGGCCTGCGTGTCGCCCGGGGCCATGCGTCACGCTTGCCGAGAAAAAGAAGCCTGAGTTGCTTACATGTGCGTCATGGCGAGGCAGGGCGGGACGTTAAACGCGTAACGTTCAACGTAACAGTTTTTCGGCGACGTAACTTGTGACTCGGGTTCCGACCCATCGCGTGAGCTTATGGTCCAACAACTCGTCGATGCTACCACGAGCCATAGAGAGTTTCCCGCCCTCTACCCCAGGGGCGTCACTGCCTCTTCGTAGAAAAACTCGACGGAGCCGTGACTCCATCTAGCGCAGGGATGGTCAAACCGCGGCTCGCGGCTCCCTGGTAAAAGTGCCCCCTCCCCGGGCAAGATAAAAAGGAAAGAAATAGAGAAGAAACAAAAAGCAGCTTGCACTTTGTCAGCTTTTTGCCATCATACGCACATCAGACAAGGTTCTTATTTTACGAATGGGGACTCATAATAAAGAAACATATTGAGCAACCGCTTTATGAACGAAATGCGCCGTGGCCACCAGCTGAGAAAAAAAAAAAGTGCCACGCCTTTTCCCTTTCCTCTTTTGTTTTTTGTTGCGGCCTTTTACTTTAAATGGTTCCTTTTTATGGCCCTTTGAATATGTGTCGTTGGCCTACCCTGATTCTACCGTCCCTAGCGCAAAGCTGCATATTATACTGTCAGGTCGCTTGGAATAAACATTGAACGCAAAATTTAAACTGACAAAAAAAGCATTCGACTGTAATATGCATCCTGTGTGTGTGTGTGTGTGTGTGTGTGTGTGTGTGTGTGTGTGTGTGTGTGTGTGTGTGTGTGTGTGTGTGTGTGTGTGTGTGTGTGCGTGTGTGCGCGCGCGCGCGCGTGTGTGTGTGTGTGTGTGTGTGTGTGTGTGTGTGTGTGTGTGTGTGTGTGTTTGCAGAGTTTCTTTGTACCTAAAATGACGTGGCGAGTTACCTGCGTAAAATGGGCGCGTCTGCGGAGGTCAATCGTTTACTGTGCTTACAGAAACCAAGTGCTGAGTTTCATATTTCGATGTGACTTGGCGCACTACTTGCTGAGGTTTCCGATCAGTAATGATTTTTGCTCTCTACTTCCTGCTTCCGTGTCAGAGTCAACGGTATTCCCGGCTTACTTTAAGTACTGACAAATAAGGAGAACCAAGCCGGAAGTAAGAGCAGGCCTCAGTTAAGCTGCGCCCCATAGTTTTTTTTTTGTTTTGTTTTGTTTTCGCATCCTTAAATTATTAGCGCACGTTAGACATAAGGCGACTTAGGTTCCAGGAAATATGTGTAATTCGTGAACAAAAACCATATGTTTTGCTGCTGCTCTTATACTACACTCCTCTGCATGCATCGAGCACAGTGGTAAAACAAGGTGTAATAAAACGTGTCAAACGTGCGTCTTAGGACGTAGAAGCTCTCAAAGTTTTTGTGCAGACTTTATATATATATTTTTTTTATTGTTTTGTTTTGCAGCGCACCGGTGGCGCGAACTCTCGGTACAGTCCGTCCTGCAACTATGGTTCCAGTTCCAATGCAACGCGGAGCTCTGCCTATAGCACGGTGAAACATTTTTGCTACAGCAAATGACGTGTGTACTATGAAAGCACGATGTAAGAGGTTAATATAGTGGGAAAACAAAACCCGGAACATTGGGACGCGTTTGGCGCAAGTAAGACCTCGGAGGGTGACGGCGTGATTTCCCTGTCTTCGCAGTCAGCGCCCTCGTACGGCAGCAGCGGACGCTACAGCGGAAGTGGTTTGGCTCCCAGCCTGAACATCTACGCGCCCAGCTACAAGACTGCTGGCACGACCTCCGGCTATGGCTCGGACTACGGTCGTGGTAGCCGCCCAAGCTCCGGCTACGGCTCGGGATACGGGTCGGACTATGGCAAGAGCACAGGGTCTGGATACATATCAGACTACGGCAGGTCAGGAGGGGGCTACGCATCCGACTACGGTAACCGAAACAGTGGATACGGATCAGACTACAACAGGTACCCATTCTTAGAAGGGCAGAGTGTACTGGCGCGCGTTTACATGGTCTGTGCCAGAGAGTCAGTTCAGGGAAAGTTGAGCAGTCCACTAGGAAAGTCAAAACTCTTAGTAAATTGCATGCTTAAGGTACAGTATTTTGTCGAGTGCCTCAACAAAATAGTTTTTTTTTTTTGCGCCTAACGAAATACACGAACCTAAGCGGTCTTCACTTTACTAATAATATTGAGACTTTCCCGTAAGTGACACCAGGCATTGAAACAAAGTATTCATCAAATACTATTAACCATCTAACCATCATTGAGCGTTTTAATGATGTTATCGTATTATCTGCTTATCCTAAAACGTCCAGCTCTGAAAAAGCAGCAAAAACCTCAAAATCGTGACTATTTATATGAACACAACAACAAAGAAAACCTGATGCGCGAGTCACGTAACGGAAAATAATAGTGAACGAATGTAAGGAATATATGTACAAAGAGAGCATAGGCAGCGCTTCTGATACAGTATTAGTAATGTTGATATAGAGCTTAGTCAGATTGTCTACTCTGGTGCACCTTTGGAAGATTGCAAAGAATAGCTGTAAAACTGTTTTATCAACTCCGAAAAAAAAAAAAAGAAATCCCATGAGTATCTACACTTTTGAGACTTACAGCGTGCTGGTAGGGTTAGAAAAATAAACGAAAGGTAGCAAAAGGACGAGAACTCATCTTGTATTCGTCCTTTTGTCGCTTTTTATTTTGTTAGTGAGTTTTAGGATTGCGTGTACGAGCAAACGCCACGCTAACGCAAACGCACAGCACTTGCGTTTGCTCCTGCGCGCAATACCAAAACTGTCTATTCTTGTAACGTTTGGCAGTTGACAAGTAATCGATATGGTTAATTTTGACTTTATCAAACATAAAAAAGCTGGGGGAATAGCAACTCGTTAAAAATTAACATTTATAAAACGAAAGCTCTGGATTTTTGTCAGAAAAATAAATCTGTGGTAGTATCTAAAATTCTAAGCTTCAACTCAACACCATTCGAAATTGTTAACTGTTTTAGAACTCTTGGTGTATACGTGTGTGTGTTTTTGTTTTTGTTTTTGTAAGAACATGACATGGGGGATAGCGATGTATGTATGCCAAAACTCGCTCAGGTGGTGGGAATCAGTAATCGCCGCAGGTAATTTAAACATTTAATTAATTTTAATTAATTCATTTGAAACAATTTAACAATTGATGTTAAATTGTCGCTTTATAAATCTTCATTTTATTCCCACATTGTCATCTTTTTTGGGGTATTTAAAAAATTACTAATTTTGAGAAACTTTTCTTGCTACAAACAATATATTGAGAGCCGCATGTAACGTACCACATGACTTCCATACTGCTGATTAATTAATAACTATCATATAATTGATAGTATTTACAAATTATATCAATACCGAGTATCTACTAGTTTTAAAAACTAAAAAAAAAAACACAGGGGCTTAAGTTTTTCCTTTTGAAAAACCACTCGTTGCTGAGGGTAAACTTACCTCCATACCCTACCCAAAGCACGGAAAAGATGGAGGATGGTCACTGAGCGATGTATGAATAATTTGGATCTAGACTGCCTAACATTTAAAGACTCCCATGAGGATGTATTTTCGTACATGATTTTGTCAAAATATTCGACTTTGTTTTAAGTTTTTGAGTTTTTCTAGGCGTATGATTCTTGTTGTTTCGTTCCTTTCTTAATTTTTTCTAGTGTGAATGTTGTTTTATATGTGTCTTCTTTCTTCGTTTACTGCTGACCATTGTAGAGGACCGAGGACTCGTCAAGCTGTATATTCCAGCTTTTCTCCTTGGGTCTCCGATCAACCAATGGAAAATGAAGTTATTATTATTATTACGGCGCAGAGGTCAAAGTAATTCTTTATTGACTTACTTAAAACAAATATGAAATAAATGTGACAGCTTGTACGAGAGTGGACTCAATCATTAAAATATGAATTATTGCATATATGTTGCACTGCTCACAGAGATACTTGAATTATCGCTCAAGGTAGCTCCACCGCTATGTGGCAGTTTTCCCCGTCTTGAATCAACTTGGTACATAGCATAACCCTGGTTAGATCTCGTAATGTTCGTCCCAGTGTTACTGGAATTCCCCGAAGAACTGCGTTAGTTGTTTTATTTATTGATTGATTGCTCGGCCCATTCAAGCCCAAGGAGGGACTCCGTTCATGACTGCACTTGGGGCAGCAGATTAGCTTATCATAGCTCTTCAGCTGTTGCCGCTTCTGAGCGCATCATCCATGTGGCAGATCCACCACGCTGCGGCCGGTCTATGGGAGACAGCCCTCATACCAGGGCGGCGCCGGGAGCTCCGGAGGATCTTATGGCACCTACCGACGTCCTTCAAATTCGGGCAGTGGAAGCGTCGCCAACGTGGTCAAGATGTTCGGCGGCCTGGCCCGCCAGTCCCGGGATGACTCGGGCAAGCCTCCAGTGGGCAGGACATACTCTGTCAGGGGCCGGGAGGACTCCAGGCCGGCATTCTACAGGATGCCTTCCAGGGAGGACGCCAGGAGCACGGGATTCGACAGACGGACTGGTGAACCCACGTCTCCCGACGCCCAGGAGCCCAAGGTTCGTTCTGATCCTTCCAACCTCAAAGTTCAAGTTCCGAGAAAGGCTCAGTCCCCATGGGTGGCTCGGCGTCCACGGAATGATATCCGGGGGAGAGGGGGTTAGAGCGAAGCAAAATGGTAACAGATCTACTCTACGCAGGAAGCCATCATGGAGGATACCGTTATCAAAATAAAAAAAAAGTATGCATTTGGGCATTTATTGAGATGCATCCAGATTCTCCCCCTTTGGCGTTTCCTTATGGACAAACAAAAAGGTGCGTTTGGTTAAAGCAGAGTCCCCCCAGCCGAGGCGAACCTTCGACGAACTTTCTTAGTCGACATGACAGAAAGCACTCGGTGGTGACACAGCCCCACTTCGGTTGGATACTCGGTCTTACAAACAAGTTAATTTGTTGCCCATTAGTTACAGAGAGTCATAAAAGTTTCCAGCAAAATGTTTTTGTTATACCTGCGAAGAGAGTTGATTGAATGCTCGTCAAGTGGAATTCAATGATTAACGCAAGTAGAGTGGGTAACAGAGAGCACCTTTGACTTCCTGCAGGCGTCAGCAGCTCCGCTGACAAAATCGGAGTCAAAGGGGGGCAAGGGCGGCCTGGCCCCAGCCGACTTCACATCCACATCCGAATCCGAGAGCGAAGAGGAGGACAGCGATGAGGACGAGCCGCCCCAGAACGAAGCACCCTCCCGCCTCGGCTTCGCCACCAGTAGGGGCACGTCCCCAGCAAGGAGCGCCGGGGAGGGCTCCTGCAGCGCCATCTCGAACGTCGACCACGTTCCGAAGTCGCCAAGAACCGCAGCCGTCGGGAAGAGGTCCCTGGCGCAACAGGTGGACACGGCTGACCTGGAGGCCTCGCGAGCACGGTACGTTTTGGTGCGGTCACACCATCGAAACAACCAACATTACTTAGGTAACGGAAGACGCGATCATGCTGACGAAAAGTTACAACAAAACGAGGTCTGGATTTTTCACGAATGGATGCATCATCATTCGGTGTGAGAAGATTTATTCAGAAAATGTTGACATGGTTGAAGATGTCTCATGACGAGTGACGGGTCGCGTAAACAGATTTTCCTGATTGTGATAGAGGGAGTAAATGTTAATTGAAAGAAGGTTTAACCATAACTCGGCGCTCTCACACTACTCTGTTGAGGTGAAGGAAAGCGACAGTGCGGTTTATTAGATTATTAGAAATCTCTATAGTCAGTGAAAGGCTAAGAACCCACTACCTAGAAGCTCCGCCTCCAGCGCGAGCTTTCTGCCTTTGATAACACATCGTCACCTCAAAACCAGGCGGAAGGCAACCAGCGCGTTCTGGAGGCGCAACTTCTATTTCATTTTTAACCTGTCACCGGCTACATATGTTAGATTAGGTTAGGCTAGGTTAGGTTACGCAATGCCAAGAGCCAGGCAGGCTTTCATCCTGGAAAACGTGTCTGGATCACGTTTCTGGACACGTATTAACTGGCTTCATCGTTGGCTTTTCAACGGGTCTTCCACAGGTTGCCATGATTGATATTTCAAGTGTACCATAGACAGTCGGCATTTTCGTTATTTGAGACTTCTGGCGGAAGCTTTGTCTATAAAGGGGCACTGACAGGTAAAAATAATTTATTTTTCTGAAACGTTTGGGAACGATGCTTGGACATTACCCTCAAAATTCGAAACTTGAAAAAAAAAAAAAATAAATAAATAAATAAAAGCCGAATTTGAAGTTTCTGCGCGATCCGCGCCAGTGCAGTGACGTCAAAAATTGAGTCGTCCTGCAACTCAAGGTTCTCTCACGCCTTCGAACCGTCCCGACCCGAAGTGTCGTGTTCGCCCTCGACCCGCAATCAACCGCCCTTCTCCGTGCGTGTCGCCTATCGCGGTGAGCAGACGACGCATCACTTTCGAGTTTGAAGTTCTTTTAGGGCCCTTTCAGCGATCTCAAATTCTTTGAAATGGTGTGAGGTCGAAGAGATCGCACAGTGGACTTTTGTGAGCGGCGTGAGGGGCCACGTCGCGCCGGTTCTGTGTAAAAGGCTGCCCCGGCGGTGTCACAACCGAAACTACGGTACGGACACCAAAGCCAAACACAGTTATTTTGACCGTTTGACGATTTCCTTTTCGAAGCCTAACAGATCGTCGGGCACCTAAAAGAGAGAACTTCGTCAGATTCCCCGACTCACTGATCATCCACAGGGCTACATGTGCCGAGCGCCGCGGGGCCGCCGCCATGTTTTCCGAGGGAGCATAAAAAGTCAGAAGGCGACACCACTCCGGGCTCCGATTTTTGGTATTTCAAAAAGAAGGGCCGTAGTGCGTTCGCAATTGCGTTAGAAAACATGCTTTCTAAATGCCGTCATTAAATATTATAGAAATGCCGCTTGCAAATCTCCTCAATTTCATAATCGATTACGTCACAAATAAAAAGAAGCAAAGAGGTGAGAAGAGGGAGAGGAAAGCGTCAAAGATAAAAAGGCGCGCGCGCGAGTGGGGGAAATATATATATATATATTTTTTTGGCGTTGTGGCATTCTTTTGCGTGTCTATGACTACAACTGGCATCGTTTTAGACAAAAAAAGAAAAGTATCTTTGGGGTGTGAGTGCCCCTTTATGTACGTCGGCGAACTCTAAAAAAATGCCTGTGCCTCCACTTTCCCGAAGAGGACGCGGCGAGCCAATCACTGCAGGGACAATGAGCAGGCGAAATGTCAAGCTCATTGTCCAGGTGGTACGTGTTCCCTAGTATAGCGATTAGCCCACCGAGTCCGCGAGATAGTAGTTACCCAGGTGACCCAACTTCTTTCTGCCGGACAATGTCCGGGCCAGTGTCGTGAAGGTGATCGCCCATAAAACAGGAGTCTAGGGAAAAAAATCTCAAAAACGTAGCGCGTATGACATTTCATTAGGGAGCCTTCGTAGATCGTTTTCGCCTTCCCGCAACGCCCTCCGCAACCCACTACGATACCCGGAACTCTACAGTCAAGGCCATCGGCGCGCAGGCGCAGTAGCGGCTTCTTGTTGTGGAGGGCTTAGCGGAGGGAGAAACGCATCTTCAAGAACTCTCTATTGGAGTGTGACTCTGGCATCTCAACACATGTTATTAATGAAGCCGAGAGTCAGACTGCAGGAAGGTCAATTGGATGAACCTGGTGAAATTGTCGTATCAAACGTTCTGAAGTGTAGCAATAAGGAAACTACATGTTATACAGTACACGTCTTTAATGTGGATAATGCCGGTGTGTCACAAACTTAGTTTGTGCCGTGAGGCGCGAACGCTATCGGTGAAACAGATTTAGCGTTGGCGCGAAAATAACCAACGATGGCAATGGGTCCTTGCTTCTGGTCGTCACCAAATCTACGCTAGCATTTACTTTGACTGCAGGCTGGCAGCTCGTTTTGATGCATCCTAGCGGGAAAAACTCATATTTGAGAGTGCACTTTCAAGTTTAAAAATTTGGATCGAAATTGTGCTTGAAAATTTATAAATTGTACCAATGGAATTTCTTGATTCCCGTTTTTCTTGCAAAACAGGTTATATTGTTTCTATTTAATGACTATCATGCACGTGCGTCTTTTGTTTGACCGGATCAGTGTACACTTGCAAATGTATACAATTTATGTTAGCGAATTCATTGAATACTCAAGTCAGTTGTCGAATAGTTCAGCACAAATATTGGCCGGAGTGAAGGGCGCGAAATGATTAAATATGTTTTTACCTTCACAACTCTTTCGTTTCACTAGAAACTGAAAGTGCAAGGGAAAGATGTGGCACAAGTTCCTTGCTTCGGATTGTGTCGAGGCTGTACGAGCTGGTGCCAGAGCTACGAGCGCCCGTACGACCGTAGCCTTTCTTCCCATACTACATTAAAACAAAAAGATAATAACCAGTGCTTGATTAGCCGGATGTAAGGTGTGTTTTATCGAAAAAGTTGTCTTACTCATTTCATGTCTTTTTTTTTTTTTTTGTGAATCAGGAACAATGGGGCAAAAAGACCAACATCTTTTGGTTCAGCCATTCCGAGGCAGAGGTCAAACAGAACGACTCCTAGCCCGACGTCCTCGGTCAGGAGTCGAAGCAGTGCCTCAGTGAGTCCTACGTCTTCCGCAACGAGAATAGCCGTTACCACAAGCCCCAGTTCCAGAATACCTGTGTTGAACGGCTCTACCGTCACCAAGACGTCCAGCCCGCCAAGAACAACGAGTCTAACGTCTCCGTCGGACTCAGTCGTTTTCCGTTCTCGCCAAGAAGACGAGGAGACCCTGCAGAACAAAGACTTCCGGAAGTCTGTGCTCAACATGAACCTTAGCGAGCTTGAACTCGAAGAGTACCTATCCAGGCAACGGGAACAGCGAGATCGCTGCAGTCAGCAGGTCGATAAGGAGCTGGAAAATCAGATTACAACCACCACGGGGGAATCGACGTCGGAGGAAGAACAGGAGGTATCGCTGTCAAGGTCCTCTTCAGCAAGGATCGGGAAAAGTGGCTCGAAGTCTAAACTTATAGATGCATCATTGCGACCCAGTGGGTCGAGAACCATTGTTTCGAGGAGCTCGTCGCAGAATCGACTTCCCAAAAGAGTGGGCAGTCGAGATAATATATTGCAGGGGAGTCAAAGTAACGACCGTGTTTATGACAGGTCGAGGAGTGCCTCCGGTGCTGACCTTTTGGAAACGACAACAACAGACGATGATGAAGATATATCCGAAGCCCGGAGTCGTAGAGTGCGTCGGCGGCGCAAGGGATCCCGGGAGAACGTTCTGGATGCGGCACCAGCTGCAGTGGTTCAAACACCGGTCAAATACGACCGGCAAGAATCCAGCAGCTCGGTTGCTTCATCCAGCACCAGCTCGTCAGAACCGGCAGACTCAGCCGAACCTGGACCTTCGCCGGTCATGGAAGCGCCTCACGTTACAGTCACGACGCATACGACCAGTGAGGGTGACGATGAGGAGGAAGAAGAAGATGAGGAAGAAGAAGAAGAAGAAGATGAGGTGGCTAGTTTAGCCGTGACTCCTGTTCCATCTGGAGGCAATGTGTCTCCCGAGTCTACCACTCTAGCGTCTGTTCTGAGCGGTGTACCGGCGGATGCCACTGAGGCGGAAGAATCGTCAGATCAGGAGGAAGAAAATGAAGCAGAAGAACAAGAAGACGATGAAAGAGAAAAAAACAAGGAACTCGACCTCAGTGATTTATATAGGCCGTTACATGACCATAATACGGACGCCTCCGATGAACAAATTCAGGGAAGCAGAGGAGACAATGACGTGGTGGAAGTTACTGAGGAAGAAAAAGACGAGACATCCAGTGAAGGACATTTGGAAAACGATGACGAAAGTGAAGGTCCGAAGGTGTGCACTGAAGGTGACCTTGAAGAGGATGCTGGAAGTGGAGAGCCAGATCATGAAGTGATTTCGGAAGAACTTGAAAACAATAAAATAGGATACGAGGACGATGTAGATGAAAGTGAGACAAGGGACAGCGTCAGAAGAACGACTGAGCTAGATGAAGAACCAAAAGATGAAACAACAGATGAAACAAGTGCTGAAGAGGAGGAAGAGGACGCTGGAACCGAGAGCGAAGTAGATGAAACTGGTGCAGAAATCAGGTTAGAACAAAAAGAACCAGATGTCTTCGGAGAGAAGAAAGTTGAGGAAGAAGAATCTGTGCAACGGGCCGATAAAGAGGCTGAAAAATCTTGTGAAAACGAAGAAGAGGGAGAAGAAGAAAAAGAGGAGGTGGAGGAGGAGGAGGAGGAGGAAGAGGAAGAGGAGGACGAGGTTAAAGATAAAGAGGTAAAATATAGCGAAAGGGAAATAGGCAATATAGAATTTTCAGGGGACAAAGCAAGGAAAGAGGATAGTGAAGAACACGAAGATAAGGGCGAAGAGAAAGACGAAGAACAAAGTAAAACAGAAACAGTTGAAGTTAACACACCTGACACACCATCAGTCACCCCTGAAACCATTAGTAAGACTCCCTCACAATCTTCATTCCTACAGGGTCCTAAGACAGAAAGCAATATCCCGAAGCTTACTGCGGGAGCGACATTTCAGCCACCCCAGGATCGGATTGGACTCGCATTCAACAATCTCCCCAAAACTGATTCCCAAAGCGACATACGGAGACCAACAACTTTGGTCGGTTTGAACAGGTCGACAGAGCCATCTTCTCAATTGCCGAAGACCCCTTCCACGCCAGGCGTCACGAGCCCAACCGTGCTGAGCCCCATGGTGGCCAACAGAACAGCTTCTCCTTATGTGCGGCAGTGTGCCCCGGAACGGACACCCACGGAAGAGAAACCAACTAGTCCCAGCGTGTCTCCCTTGTCGCCGTTCAGTCACCCCAGTGCTAGCTCAGTCAATAGAATTGCCTCGCAGTTCGCGGCTGTCCCAAGCCCTCCTACGTCTGAACCTGTCCGGAGGTCCAGAGCTACCCATTCTGCTATACCGACACCTACAACAAGCGGGAAAACGGAGGACAATAAAATTCCAGTGGCCCCCCTGTTGCAGTCAACAGTAGCTCGCCCCCGTCAAAGGCATATAATACCAATTCCTATAGCACCTGTGTCTCCAGCTCGAGTTTCATCAGTTCCCCCAGTCCCTCCAGTATCCACAACTTCCGTCTCTGCATTTCAGGATAAACCAACTTCACTCCCAGCTCAGCAGTTTCCAGCTTCTACAGTGTCCGCCGTGAGAGTGTCTCAAGTTCCAGTCCCTCATGTTGCACCGCCACAAGCTCCAATTCCCGCAACTCGAACGTTCCCCATTCCAGCGCCTCCATCTTCAAAGGTTTTACCGGCTCAAACTCCCCCCCAGGTAGTCAACGAAAAACCTTCTTTCATAGCTAAACCAACTTCTGTGCCGGCGCAACGGCCAAGTTCCCTGGATATTGTTAAGGATTCACCCAGCAGAGTGTCTGCCGATACCTTCCTGGAGAATTACAAAAAGTCTCGCGAGGCTCTCAGCAAGAGCGACTCTTCAGGCCACGTGAAGAGCCCGTCCGTACTTGCTGCCCAGCGGACACTTCTAGCAACAGACACGGCGCAGACGACACCGTCTCAGAAACCACCTGAACCCCAAAAGACTTCCACCGCTCCAGCACCACTTAAAGAGTCAGTTACAAATAGGTTCCAGAATCCGCCAGAGCCGAGTCGTACTGTCATTCAGGTGCCCCCTGCTCCGAGACGAAGACCAGCGCCGCTTGTACGAACACCGGACAACCGAAAAAGCAGTCCTGGTATACCGTCTGAATCAGAACGAGCGAAATTCAACGACCTTACAAAAACGAGCAAGAAACCCGTGACCAAGTTTATCGGGTCCTGCAAAGACATCGACTCTTTCTTGAAGTACGGCGACGACGAAGAACCAGAGACTTTCGAACAGTTCGAAGATGAGTTTGAGAAAGGTGCCGTCATGCCGCTTCCTGAACCGAAGAAGCTGTCACCCGGAGACCGGGTGAAACTCTTCATCGGAAAATTCCAGGATATTGACGACATGTTGGGGACTCCAGCTGCTCCTCCGGTTTTCCCACTTAGTCCCAGCGATAGAAGCCCGTTCGAGAAAAGTGCGAGCAACGCCCATGACAGCGATTCTTCGGGAGACTCCTCCTTGGAAGAAGTGAAGGTGTCTTCTGTTCGAGTGCACGAGTCCAAGCAAGCGCTTCGGCCACGGCTGGACGCCTACACGGAAGAAATCGACTCCAGTGCTGTGCGGATAAGAGAGCCCAAAGTGATGCAGGGACAGATCACCAAAAGACCCACCAGGAAGGTAAGCGCATTGGTGAGCGATTGGGTGAGAGACTTGTGTCGTCTCATGACCCCCTAAGCCCATTTTTTTTTATCAAGAGCGATTTTTGGTTAGGCGTTTTTGTTTCTTGTTTTTCCCCTGCGCGTAATCGTTTTACAAGGCACGGGTGCAGTATGTTGCCGAACAAATATTGCGACCGAATATTAAACGCATTATAATTTTAATGCAATTAAATGCCAAGGTACAAGCGAGTTGGACAAGAATGACGCAAATAATCCCTGGAGAAGGGGAACAAGAGGGACAAAGGACAAACATAAACTCCAAAAACAGCTAGGTGACCGGTGAGCGACCGAAAAAATCCGCCTGGTCCGGGTATCGAACCCGGGACCTCTCCATTACAGGTGGAGCGCTCTACCAACTGAGCTAACCAGGGGTTAGACGTCAGTAGAGCAAACGGGTTTTATCAGCTGCCACCAGTCTGACACCAACAAGGGTGAACCCGTTTGCTCTACTGACGTCTAACCCTTGGTTAGCTCAGTTGGTAGAGCGCTCCACCTGTAATGGAGAGGTCCCGGGTTCAATACCCAGGCGGATTTTTTCGGTCGCTCACCGGTCACCTAGCTGTGTTTGGAGTTTATGTGTTCCCCTTCTCCAGGGATTATTTTCGTCGTTAAACGCAGTTGATTCAATCGATCGTATAAAAATGGGCGGTGTGTATGTTTATACAGCATAGAACTTGGTGTGCCTCAACGGGTGACGAGTCTCCCAGCTGTAGATGAGCAATTTAGCCAGTGCTGGTTGAACGTTGTGCCAAATCACACAAAGGTATTTTATCTGGGAATCTTAAGGGGAAATCTTACATTCCTGTGTATAAATAACGATGTACAGCCTAGAACGTTTTTGATAGTTCGGAGAAAACACTGTGAAGTGAAAGGAACGAAATAAAAGTGAAATGAAAATCATGTCGAAGAACTGGGGCTGTAGATCAATACTAAATGTTTAATCGATTAATTCGTTATATATAATACAATAATAAATTGGCCTAATGTCAAGGCCGATAGAATTGGTAAAAAGTTCCGAACTTAGCGGACAGAAAAATAACAGCGTTTAAATGAAACACATTTATTTCATGTTTTTTTTTTTTTTGCATAAATTTAAATGAAAAATATGCCAAGCATTAATCGAATGCGCGCCTCTCCTCTTTTTCGACAAACATTCGAACCTCTACAAACCTATGCAATTTCTACAAACCTTGATAAAGGTTACAATGTACGGCTCTCCTTTACGTCTGATGACGGAAGTAGAGGGGGGAACAGGAAGAAATGTATACCATGCAGCAATTAAGTGCTATCTAAGTAATATACCTTTCCGGTAAATTCGAGGAGACCTTGCAACGAGGGGAATTGCGCTGTTAACCTTAGAATATGAATCACCAACTCGCCCAAGTTTCTATTCTATCAAGGAATTGTGGGGCTGTTCGGATGTACGTTGGGTGCCGGCTTGAACACTTCGTATATCATGGTAGCGGCATGATTCATTCTTTCTTATCGTTAAAGACTAAAAAAAAAAAAGCGTTTGAAATAGGAGGTCATCACGTACTCTGTTTTGCTTACCTTCAGCCTCCTCTGCGTACACGAAATGTGAAGCCAATGTTTAACTTCGTTTTCGCTTCTTGCATAATTTCACGTGTCGTACATCTGTACACCACAGTGCGTAAAGCAGACGCTGGGGGCACCATATATTTGCGGAAAGGTGTATTGAGAGGTGTGTGAGAAGTGTGCTATTTACTTATGAATATTTTTCTGAATGAAAAATGATGCGGCGGGTCTGAAATAATAATAATAATAATAATAATAATAATAATTTCATTTCATTTCATTTATTTATCCTTAAGGGCCCGGGTGGAGCATTATATAAGGGGGGGGAGTAGACGAGAACTAAAATACACTTTGACACTTGAAAACGACAAAAATAGGAAAAGGAGAGAGTCAAAATAACAATAGTAAAAAACACAAAGTACTGATATGGTTTAGTCTGGAATGGTTAGTGGTTGTGTAAAGAGACTTCCTGGCGAAACCTTATTGGGTCAGTGATGACTACAATGTCGTCGGGAAGGGAGTTCCAGATGGCTATTGCATGAGGGAAAAAGGAAGTGTTGAAGGCAAGCGTTTTGCCTGCAATACGCTTGATGCATTGACTGTGATTAAGGCGTGATGATACTCGGTCTGGAGGAGCAAGAGGTGTGGTATGGGAGTATGGATAGTTATAGTAGAACTAATGCAATAAACATAACCGAGAGTTCAATCTTCGACTGGACAATAAGGGCAGTTCTAGAGTTTCTTTAAGTTGGGTTACACTGATGTCATAAGTATAAGCTGATGCGATGAATCGGGCTGCGCGGGTTTGTATGCGTTCCAGGTTAGCAGAGAGGTAAGCTTGAGAAGGGTGCCAGATGGATGACGCATATTCAAGCTTTGGTCGAACGAATGTTATGTATGCAAGTTTGTTAAGGAGACTGGGTGCGGACTTTAAATCACGTTTCAGGTATCCAAGTGTGCGTGATGCCTCAGCTATAATATTATCGACATGTAGAACCCAAGAAAGCGTTGATGTTAAATTTACTCCTAAGTACTTATAAGAAGTTGAAGTATTAATTGGGGTGCCGCCGAGTGAATATAAATACGTATCTGTAGATTTTCTCCGGGTAAACGAAACTCTTTTACACTTGTCCAGGTTCAGAGGCATAAGCCATTGTTCACACCAGGTATTAATTTGTGTTAGGTCGTCCTGCAATATGAGATGATCTGAATCATTTGTGAGTGGGCGATATATCACGCAATCATCGGCGAATAGCCTAATTTTCGAAAGGATGTCATGAGGAAGGTCGTTTATGTATATTAAGAATAGTAGTGGGTATAATAATAAGCTATACAGTATATTGACTAACAGATGAAGAAACGCATGGTGTGACGAACCCCGAGCCGCCCCACAGTCAATCAGTTTGCGGCATTAGACGATAAGAACGACAAAGAGCGAATCGCGAAGCAAGAAGGCCGAAGATACTGAGCTATACCCTGTAGCTCTTCAGCGGCCGGCGACTATAGGTGTTTCGCTGATACAGTGAGAAGTGCTCTACGCGGTAAATATACCCTGTAGCTCTTAGGCGAGTTTATTCATATCGTTTCAATGGTGTTGACGGAAATAAGTTCGCGGTTGTGTACTTCAGAAACATGGCGTCCCGAAGGAGCAGAGCGACGAAACTCTATGGAAGGGACCAATAATCGGTTAAGACATCAGTCGGTGGTTAATATTGGTATCGATAATTAATCGGTACGTTAATCGATTAATTTCACAGTCTTACGACGGCTGTGACTTTTTTATGCTGTAGGGCCGAGGGGCCAAAGGCAGAGCCATGTGTGCTTATGCAACATTACGATCTGCACTAAGACACGGGGGGGGGGGGGGGGGGAGGGTTACTATGTTTCGTTTCGTGACTTGTTAGGCTCCCTTCTCGGAATGCAGTATTACCTGGATATTCACGTGCTTTGTGTGGAGAGTAGCCAAGTAGACACGTGAGCATTTCTTAAAGCGCATGGTGCGGCGATGGATCGACACATGTGACGTGTCGATTTACTCTTGTATTTACTTGTAGGCATCGCTGATCCCGGAGCCTCAGGGTCTGTAAATCGAGTCCACACGTCCCTCACCTTTCCAAAAGTGGCCTTTGGGTGTTTGACTGACAGTCGGAGTTGCGATTCGGGAAATGCGCGTCGCGCAAGTGCACGACTAGCTTCTCTTGCCCGCGGGGTGCGTCTCCAAGAAGAAAGTTGATTACGCGGGCACGTTGTGAACGTCTCTCTCTATCTCTCTTATATTACGAGCCATCGGTTATAACAAACTCACGTCGCAGCAGCGTTTCTCATAAAAAAAAAAAAAGAGCCACGGTAACGATCGCGTCGTCGTTACAAAGGCCATGCGCGCTTCGCTGGACGCGGGGGAAGGGAACGACGAGCAAGCCATCAAAGACAAACAGACAAGTGAAGAAGCGAGCAAATCGTGAACGACCGGTGGGCGCTGCTGCCCGCCTGCCAAACCACGCATGCGCGGAAAAGAACACAAGCCGGTGTGTCCATGCAGACGCCGGCAGGTAGGCACAAAAGCTGGCCAGCGGAAATGGACGCTATCGGAGGGGCTTTGCTGTCCAGCAAGCTCGTGAACTGGAGAGGCGGTTGGCCCGGCAAGGCTCGACGTCGGTTTTCATTTCTAGCATCTCTTTTTTCTTTTCTTTCTTTTATGGTGCGTTTTTATGATGACTGTTCTTTCATCGGAAGGCATGCAAGGGGGTTGTTGGCTCGGCAACAATTGATTTGCTCGTGCGTCTGCAGAACGTGAAAGCCCAAGGGGAAGGAGGGATGAATGAGAGGAAAGAGAAAAGAGACAGTGTCTTGGGGGAGACACACTGCTGGCGTCCTTCATGCATCGTTTCCTTTTCGGGTGGAAAGCGTTTATTTTTTGCTTTTTCCTTCGGTTCCGTCGAGTTGGAACACCAGCTTAATGGGATATACACGGCTAGCTGACCACGTTTAGAGCTGGTCGACACCACGGGTAGCTCGTCTCGCCATTGTGCGTTCGCTGCTGAGTTTCTGAGCTTTACTGTAGTTTGTATAGAAATAAACATGGAGTCACTTTCGCTATATAGACATCCGCGTTAAACTTGCCCCATAAACTTGGCAATTCCAGGCTAACGAAGTGCATTCCAATCATGACTGGTCAGTAGTTTCGCTGGTAAATATAGGACAAGATTATCTCGGCGAATGCGTTCCTTAGCTTCATGCGAAACACTGAATTATATCTGTAAGTTGTACACGTTGAATTGAGAAATGTGTCAATTGGGTAGGGTCTCCTTGTTCTGAGGAGGCACCGTAAAATTTTTGCAGAAGAAGTCGTACAGTCATTTCACACCCACTACTCCAGTCTCAGGCATCGTGTATCTGAGCGCTCCCGGATCAACGCGTTAATTT